TCAGTGTCTCATCGCTGCGGCGTGCAGCCCGACCCAAAAGATGTCCTCACAACACAGGCCCTTGGCCTTACTCAGTCAAAAATCACATAAGCCTCTCCGGCAACAGTAAAACAGTGTTTCTCAGCCCAAAACATCATTTAAATATCATTTGAGTATTAAAACTGAGTGAACATGGTTGAGTTTTAAAAACAGTGGAAAATAACATGACTGAGTTCAAGTAATAAGTCAAACAGTGAGGAAATATAAAAAAAAAAACACGAAAGGGATCAAATAGTTGGCACGAAGCCCAAATATGGCATGCAGCCCAAATAATGATGGTAACAAATAGCTTTCAGTCAAGTACGCGGTAAAATCATCAATCGGGATGGACCAAGTCACAGTCCCCATAAGTGCACGACCCCACGCTCGTCATCAAGCGTGCGCCTCACCTCAATATAGCACTACGATGTGCAATCCGGGGTTTCAAACCCTCAGAACATCCTTTACAATCATTACTCACCTCGAACCGGCTACATCTCTAGCTCACGACGCCTTTACCCCTCGAATCGGCCTCCACGCGCGTCGAATCTATCCAAAATCAGAATGAGGACGTCAAAATATGCCAAGGGAACAAAGCCCAAGCGAAAACAATCAATAACGGGCACTAATCCCGAAATTAGCAAAACCCGAGCCCCGGTCCCACTTCTCGAAACTCAGAAATTTTCACATCAATAGATTCCTCGTCTTCTCACGAGTTCATACATATCAAAATTACTGAAATCGGAGTCCAAATGACCCCTCAAATCCCCATTTAAAGGCCTCTTAAACTCAAGCCTTAATCCTCCATTTTTGCCCTTTAATTCCTTTAATTACAGCCCTAAATTCATGAAATACAATCATTGAATTGAGTTTTAGGTCCAAAATTCCTTACCTTAACGAAGTCTCTTGATTTCTCTCTTCAGAATCGCCTAAAAAGCTCCAAGGTCGAATGCAACAATAGTGAAATAACCCAAAATCGCGAAATGAAATAACATATAAGGTCTGCCAAGGCCTTTCCGCATCTGCGGTCCAAAATCCGCTTCTGCGGTGCCGCATTTGCGGCCAAACCATTGCTTCTGCGGTTTTTCACTTAAGGCCCCAAAATTGCATCTGCCATTGAACTTCCGCATCTGTGGCCATCTTGACCGCTTTTGCGAAAACTGCTCATCTAAACCCCTTTTCGCTTCTGCGATAAACCAGCCGCATCTGCGGTCCCCAATCCGCATATGCGAAAATACCAGAAACAGCAATATCAGCTGCTGCAACAAAATTCTAACCTCTCCGTTGACCACCCGAAATCACCCCGAGGCCCCCGGGACCTCAACCAAAAGCACAAACATATTCTAATACCTTATTCAAACTTGTACCAACCTTCAAATCATCTCAAACAACATCAAATCACCCAAAACACATCGGATTCAAGCCAAACTTTCTAGAATCTTCCAAATTCTCCTTTTGATCAAAAACCCAACCAAACCACGCCCGAATGACCTGAAATTTTGAACACACATCCTAAATGACATAACGAAACTACTGCAACTTCCGGAATTTCATTCTAACCCCTATATCCAAATCTCACCTATCAACCGGAAAATGCCGAAATCTTAATTCCGCCAATTCAAGCCTAAACCTTCCACGGACTTCCAAATGCATTCCGATCACGCTCCTAAGTCCCAAATCACCTAACGGAGCTAACCAAATCATAAAATTTCCGATCCGAGATCATATACAAACAAGTCAAATCTTGGCCAAACCTTTCAAATTTCAAGCTTCAAACTGAGAACTGTTCTTCCAAATTCATTCCGATTACCCTGAAAACCAAAACCAACGGTTTACATAAGTCATAATATACTACACAGGGTAAGTCATGCCCGAGAGCTGGCGAGCAAAGTGCAAAAACTTAAAACGACCGATCGGGTCGTTACAGGATCCAAGGTCTTTCGAGTAGGGCATTGTACCTCATGTCGCCCTCGATCATGTGGAACTTGGTATCTTGAATGGTTCCAGCCACGGTCACCGGTAGAATAATCTCCCCTTTAGTTGTTTCACTGGCCATATTGAAGCCGTTTAAGACCCGAGCTGGGGGCACGATTCGTCTTGTAGGCCGAGCTTCTCACGACCCTTGATCGGATGATATTCGCCGAGCTACCTGGATCCATTAAAACACGCTTAACTTGAACTTTATTTAATACGATAGAAATTACCAGAGCATCGTTGTGGGGCTGAGAAATGCCTTCTGCTTCTTCGTCGCTGAATGATAAGGAGCCTTTGGGCACATAATCTCAAGTTCATTTTTCCCTAGTGATTGATACCTTAGTGCATTTGAATATGGGTCCCTGTGGAATATCGACCCCACCGACGATCATATGAATGACATGCTTGGGTTCCTCCTGTTCATTTTTCCTGTTAGCGTCCCTTTCTCTGAAATGATTCTTGGCTCGATCGCTGAGGAACTCTTGAAGGTGGCCCTTATTGAATAGACGGGCTACCTCCTCCCTCAATTGCCTGCAATCCTCGGTCTTGTGACTATGCGTGCCATGATATTTGCACATCAAATTTGGGTTTCTTTGGGAAGGATTGGTCTGTATGGGTCTGGGACACCTAGTATCTTTGATCCTTCCGATTGCCGATACAATGCCCGACACATTGATGCTAAAGTTATATTCTGATAACCGAGGTGCCTCTATGGATTGGCATGCTTATCAAAACCACTTTTACTCATAAGTCCCCGAGAATTCTGTCCTCGATCACTTCTCCGATCATTCCGGGCGGAATTGCGTCTTGAACCATTGCTCCTTCGATATGCGGTATATGGTTGATATCGTTCTCTGTTCGAACTTGGCTCCCTATCGGCGTCCCTCTGGGTTTTAACTACTGACTTGTTTAGATGTACTGAACCGGAAGGGGCTCCTAATTGGTCGTCCTCGACCCTGATCTTCGATTGATATCGATTGTGCACATCTGCCCAAGTCACAGCTGGATACTCGATCAAATTTTGTTTCAACTGACAGACGCTGTCTAGCTCCGTTCGTTCAACCCTTGAGTGAAAGCTTGAACGACCCAATCATCTATGACCGGTGGCAACTCCATGCGTTCCATTTGAAATCAGAATTTGAACTCCCTCAGCATTTCGTTATCCCTTTGTCTTATCTTGAAAAGGTCCGATTTTCTTGTTGCGACCTTTATGGCCCCGGCGTATGCTTTTACGAAAGAATCTGCTAACATGGAAAATGAGTCGATGGAATTTGGTGGCAGGTTGTGATACCAAATCATTGCTCCATTCGAAAGGGTTTCTCCGAACTTTTTCAACAGCACAGATTTGATTTCATCATCTTCTAAGTCATTTCCCTTTATTCTGCACGTGTACGAAGTGATGTGTTCATTAGGATCGGTGGTCCCGTTGTACTTAGGTATGTCCAGCATACAAAACCTCTTAGGAATGGGCTTCGAAGCCGCACTTTGAGGAAAAGGCTTCTGCACGAACTTTTTCGAATCCAAACCCTTTAGGATTAGGGGTGCCCCCGGTAATTGATCAACTCGGAAATTGTATGTTTTCACTTTTTATCATTATCTTCGATTTTCTTCTCTCCTGACTCAATTATTTTAGTGAGCTCCTCGAGCATTTTCATTATTGCAGGATCGGTCCCCGATTCATTACCATTCGACCTTTCTGGCACTGGCTCGGTCGGCGAGTGATTTCTGGCTCGACCCCACTTGGAGTCTTATGTTGATTTTGTAACTGAGCAATAGCGGCCTATTGAGCATGTAGCATCTCGAATATCACCTGGAGACTAACTCTTCCGTCTCCTCTGACCTGTGTACCTTGACCACCAGATCGGCCTTCCCTGCGTACACTCCCTTCGGGGTCCGCGCCTAAGTCCGCATTTAGAGCAACGTGCGAACTGACATAGACTGGATCGGCAACCGGTGCTCCCTCGAGATTAGCTGGTGGCACCCCGGCTCCTAGAGAAATTACATTGTCGTTTTCCCCGTGAAACCCGAGACCATCATCATCATGCGTGGGTGCATTTTGTGAGTTTGACATGCTTTAACCTGAGAGCAAAAATACTTGACAAGAACAAGTGTGAAATAACGTGTGTTATCAGAATCAGCACTAAACAATCACTATTATCCTTAGCCCCACGAATGGGCGCCAAACTGTTTACCCTAAAATTCGAGTAACAATTAAATTTCTATTATGGTTTTAAGGATATGTGATTCAATCCAATACCAATTGATAAATAAGGAATTAAATAGATAAATTAGAGAATAAAATAAATCAAACCAGTATGCAAGTCAAATCTCGACCTCGACCTGTGGTAATCTCGAGGTGTGATAATATGAATAGCAAATGATAAAGCAACTCTGATGAACAGTGAGCAAAATAGCCAGGAAGTAATGAACGTATATTTTCTTATCAGTGAACAATGGATCCCTTCCAAATGAATGGGACCCCTCTTTATATAATAGGTGAGTCCTAAATAAGGTATACTTCTAATTATAGTAGGAATCATATTAACATCTAATTAACTGCTGCAGACCGATCCATTCTGAGATTCACGCCACGATCTTCGGTCCGTTGCGGATATCTCGCCCTTTCCTTTATAGAATTATACCGGCATCATTTCGAAGTATGCCCCCTTCTGACCTCGATTAGTGATGTCGACCTCGATCTTGGAAAGAAACTTCGATCCCGGACTCGACGTCCTGGCCTTTCGACGTGGTATCTTTTTTTCCCATCGAAGTATGAAATCGGGGATCGATTTCCACCTTATACACTTTTGTTACACAAAAATCATTTTACTTTGCTCTAGTTATCACAAAAGTCACATTTGTCAGATCTTATAATATTTTTACTTAAAAAGTCTATTATGTCATTGATATTATATATTTTTATCTAGATATTTTATTTATAACTAAAATAACTTAATACTATTTTATTTATTATTTTTATATATATGCTACATCGCACTTTTTTCCCTTTGTCTTTCTTCTTTTGAGAAAGCAAACGCAACCCAATATTCCTCACTATCTGTGACTGTGAGAATTTATAGTTTCAGCAATCTCCCATTTTCTTCTCTTTATACTTACAACTCCAATACATATCGAAAGAGTAAATACTTCAGAATTTCTATTTCGTGTTAAGGGTTCGGTGCAGAGGCATTGCTTTTGTCAGAAATATTGCCGTTCTCCGTCGTTTCTCCTCAAAAGGTAATTTTCTGTTTACTTCTTTATTGCAGACAATTAATTATTCTGGTAATTTATCATGTATTCTCATAATTCAGATGTCAATTGCTTTATTAAAATTCCATAAATTCGCGATTTCTATTTATTTATTGCTCATACACATTGCACTTCCTAACGGACCTAAATATTCTTTCTCATCAGTTGTGATTGTTGTTAATTCTTTTATGTTAATATATTAGGGACTGAAATGTAAGTGAAGTCTAAACTAATTTCAACTTGTTGTGCATTTGTTTTTGTATATGTAGTTGGAAAATGGAAATTGTAGATGGATGTATGATATGAATATTTCTAATCGGCGGGGTTTGAGGGATGAATTTATACAAGGCGTTGAGGGGTTTATTAATCATGCAAAGTCATTTAATCAAAATGACTGGGACGATTAGGTGTCCTTGTGCGAAATGTTGGGAGAGAGAATGGGAGAGGTGGTGTGTGTATATGGATAATTTAGAGGAATTGCATCTGATTGTTTGCCATGGGTGAAGTATCCATCCTAAAATGAAGTTAAAAAATGAATACTTACCATTAAAAAGATTGGCTGAATTTTAAGTAAGATTAATATCTCTGTTCTTTATTGAGATATGATTTGATGTGATCAAATAATAATGGGTTGATTTCAAGGATTCTTTAATGAGACATGAAACAGGTAGTTGTTTTTGTAAGGTTTACTTGTATACATTTTATATATTAGGTGGAGGGATGTGGCTAGGTGATGGGTTGTCTTTCAATGAAATTTTTTGTATGTTTGTTGCTTGGGCATAATATTGTAATGCTTTTTGTTGCCTTAGCGAGAGTTTTGCTACTTGATTCTCTACTTTGCTCTATATGTAGTGATATGGCAGTTTCTTTGCAAGGTACTTCGCTAAGAAAGTAGAAACTACTACCTGTGATTGTCTTGATACTAGTAGATAGGGTTACATGGTTCTGTCTAGACATGCTTGTTATGATGGTCTAGTTAGATTTCACATATGCATGGTGCTTTTCCTTTTAATTATTTGTATTCATATTTTTTTATGTGTGTTTAATTGAACGGGCAACATAAGTAAAATTGACTTGCTCACTCAACAAGGAGAATTTAAAGAAATGTAGCGGTAATATCCTTGAATGGATATCACTTCCAGTGTATCAACAGGTTTGATGGCTTTACTTGTGTAACTTTCCCCTAATATGGTCTTTGGAATTCGTCACTGTGACATTTTTGTTCTACCTCCCAATATAATACTTAATACATCAATAAAGGTTAATCTTCTATTATGCATAATATTTCCGTAGATGAACTCTGTCATCATCAGATAATTGTTAATTTATCCACCTCTTTCTTGCAATATCTACTTGGCTTGTGTTTGTATGACCACTTGCTGTCATCTTATTTTGTTAGTGCCTTAGTTTTTGCTCGAACTCGAAATCACATAGTGATGAATTTGGTATTAATTCGCTTAAAACTCTGTAAAATATAAGCAAATTTTTGGAGACAGGGTACCCACTGCAATTTGCCTAGAGCTATGTCTTAGTTTCTGATAAGATAATCATTCAAGGTTTCTGTTTCATCTTTTGAGTTCCTATGTTCCTATCATCATAATTTTTACCTCAGTGTGCATAGTTGATGTTTTCATGCTAACTGCTAAGCAGTTTTGCCATGAGTATATTTGGACACTTTTATTTGGTTTCTCATTCCCTTTGATCATCGGTGCATTTATGTATGGATATATCATCTCTTCTTCTGTTACATCTTTTTTGTAACTTGAGCCCATCTATGTGTTCCATACGAGAACTTTAAATCATAACTTGAGCCCATCCATGTTTTGTAATTAGTAAAAATTCATTGTTCAATAGTCCTAGATAAATAGGTGATTACAAATCCAATTTGATTCCTTATATCTTCATGGAAATATCTAGGTATCTAGCTTCTGAACTAGTTGTCAGGAATGTTATTCCTTTTCGAAGTAGGATAGTTGATATATTCCCTTTCTTTACATACAGGTTTAGATACATATGAGTTGAGGCTCTGAGCTGTGCCTGTTTAGGGAAGACAGTGAATAGGCCTTAGCCGTACAGAAGAATGGTTAACTTGGAGCAGCCGAAGCGAAGAGTTGCCTTTGTGCTTATTGATGGTTTGGGAGATGTCTCTCTGCCAAGATTTGGTTATAAAACCTCGCTTCAAGCAGCCAAAATAGCAAATTTGGATGCCATAGCATCTGCAGGAGTTAATGGTCTGATGGATCCTGTTGAAGTTGGCTTGGGTTGTGGAAGTGATACAGCCCATCTTTCTTTGCTGGGCTATGACCCTAGGGTATATTACCGAGGTCGGGGTGCATTTGAGTCAATGGGTGCTGGGTTGGCAATGTCACCAGGGGATATTGCATTTAAGGTATGCACCTTTCTTTGTCTCTTAGAGCTGTTATATCTGTATGTACGAGCGGTATATCTATATGGATAGGTAATGTAATGTCTTAATTCTTCTCGCCCTATGTTAACTACCCCTGCACTCAGTAGGCAAAACAATAAAAAATAAAAGAGAAGAATTTCACTGGTCGACGGAATGAAGAGAACCACAGGGCACACGATATTTTTTGAGTAAATAGCTAGCTTTCTCACAGGCATTGTTGTTTGAACTACGAGCAATAACCATATCTCCTCCTCGGCTACCTTTTTTGCACATTATGTTTGTGGCAATTAACGACAGGGTTTCTCAAATATTGTCATGTGTTCTGCGTTTTCTCTTTCACCCGGGGTTGAGAGAGGGGACCAATGTCTGAGACATTATTGGGAGTGGGACATTGGTCTGAGAAATTGTTTCTCATCTATGCTAGTATGAATAACAAGATATATGCACAGCACTGTCATTTGCTAACCGTTGAACCTATACTGTGATAAATTTTACTGTACTTTTTGGTACTTTTCTTTGTATATGAGGTGAAAGTGTTGTCTTTGACTTATTTTTTACTGTTTCAATACAAGTCAAACTTTGCTACACTGGATGAGGAAACGGGAATAGTTGTTAGCAGGAGGGCTGATAGGCATTTTGAAGAAGAAGGGCCAATTCTTTGTGCAGCATTAGATGGAATGAAGTTGCCTTCTTTTCCCGAATATGAAATTAGAGTCAGGTAGAAATGGTCCTTTTTCTTGAACTCTTTGTCCTTTATTTGTTGCTGATGTGCATAATCATATCTTATCCAACAGGGTTTAGTTATATTTTTTCTATGTCTGCTGCCTACTAGGCTTGATTTTTTCCCCTCAAAAGATATTCGTATGAGAGAAATTGTTGTTACTCAGTAGTGTACTATCTGTAGAAATAGTATGCAAGCGTTTTTTATTATAGTTGCTGTTGTTTGCTGCATCCGGAATATGAGCTTTACATAATACCATTAGTGAAGAAAAGGGCAATACCCAATGTTTATTGTAGGTATGCTACGGAGCATAGATGTGGAGTGGTTGTCAAGGGACCAAAGCTCAGTGGAAATATATCAGGAACTGACCCATTGAAAGATAACCGCTTACTTTTACAAGCACAGCCTCTTGATGATACAGATGAAGCAAAACACACAGCTGCAGTTGTCAATGAACTGTCTAAAGAAATTTCACGCATTTTGCTTGCTCATCCGTTGAATGCAAAAAGGGCAGCAGAAGGAAAGAATGTTGCAAATCTGGTTCTTTTACGAGGGTGTGGCATTCGAATTGAGGTACGAGGAGTGTGTTTTTTTAGCGTCTGCCAATTTATTAATTTTTTGGTGGGAGTTTTGCATGCATTGTTATGATAATTAACTTGGAATTTTGCCACTAACCATTCAGCTTTGGGCATACTAGAAAGAAGAAAGTCTTTTTCTTCTGGTTGGAGCCTTGTGTTCTCAGTTCTATTTGTATATGCTGTAGGTTGCTCCATTTGAAAGGATACATGGTCTCTGGCCATGCATGGTAGCTCCTACCAAGATTATTGCCGGCTTGGGTTTGTCACTCGGGATAGATATTCTGGAAGCTCCTGGAGCGACAGGAGACTATAGGACATTATTAACATCAAAAGCAACTGCCATAGCCAAGGCACTGTCGGCACCTCTGCAATCTTGTCCCAATGTTTTTGTGCCCGGGGAAGATGAGCACAAGCCTGGTCGATTTGATGGTTATGATTTTGGGTTCCTTCACATTAAGGTTTATCTCCCAGAGTTTAATTATCATTATGTTCTGATCTCGATAACATCTTTTTATCTTCTTCTTTTGATGCTTCAATTGTTGGCAAAAGTCAATTTTCTTGTAACAGCTCATGGGAGGATTTCGCTTAGGAAGATCTATCCCTTCATCATGTTTTTTTTAGATTCCATATTTAGCATAGCAGTTCCGTCAGGAGTAATAAAAGCATATAGGAAAATCACAGCATGACATTTGATTGTTTTAGCAAGTTTAGAGTAATTTTCTTATTCTGCTTTACGTCAACTTGTCAAAGGATCATATGCTTTTTTGGTCCTTGTTCCTTTTCTCTTTTTTCTCTTGTGAGGTTGATGGTTATATGTTTTTATTTTTGGATTTGCAGGCAATTGACGATGCAGGTCATGATAAAGCGAGTGTATTCAAAGTGAAAGGACTGGAAGCTGTTGATCATGCTATAGGACAATTAGCTAGGCTTCTTTGGGAAGCAGAGTCCACGGGGAAATTCAACTACTACCTTTGTGTCACCGGAGACCACTCCACGCCCGTAGAATATGGAGATCACAGCTTTGAACCAGTGCCATTTGCATTGTGTAGTTTAAAAGACTTTGTGAGTGCTTTGGGTGGAGAAACTGTCCTATCAGGTATTTCCCTTGATCCATTTCCCCTTCCATCCGTCCAAGCTGGCGAAGACATAGATACTGATACAAGGATTGAAGAAGACAAAAATAAGAAGCTTCAGTTTCTTGCTGGTGATTCTGTTGACAAGTTCAGTGAAATAGCAGCTGCAAGAGGTTGTCTTGGCCGGTTTCCCGGGAGTGAGATGATGGGAATCATAAAGGCATATCTTAAACTTGATGCTTGATTTTGATCCGCGTCTGAAGTTCATACTCAACATAAGCTTCAAATCAGGGGGGAAAAAGAACATCAAAATAATTTAATTTTCTTTGGAGGAGAAATGTAGCTGTATTGTCCTAACTTTCTAGGTCCCGTTTGGTCATGAGTTTTGCCAAAATAAATTTGGGATTTATTTTCAAAACTCATGTTTGGCTATAAATTTTGCCCATATTTTGGCCAAATCCCAAATCTCAAATTTCAAATCCCAAAATCAGCTATTGAGCTGATTTTGGGCCAAAATCCCAAAACTTGGGAATTATATACATGTTTTACCAAAATAAAGTTAGAAAATATGTTTTGAAAACGTATGTCCAAACACATTTTCATCTTCAAACCAAACTTCATCTCAAATCAGATTTTTCAAAACAAATTTGAGATCTATGGCCAAACGCTAGCTTAATAAAATGGAATTTCATGCTGTTTTATCAACCTTAACAATCGGTTATTCTTTTGTTAGATTGCTTGTTTTTTCTCTGATGCTGTAAGTACACTTTCCATGATTGCATGTTTGTACCATAAAATTTCACATAAGAACAACGTGGATCCCTACTTTTTAATTTTATAGCCTATATTTCAATTTACAATCAACTAGCCCAAAAATAATAGGTTAAGATTCAACATCCAACTCCAATAGGTTCTCAAAATTACTATTTAATTTTTAAAGAAGATTGCTCAAGCTTTTAGATTAATTTTCGAATCAGTAATTGTAACTCAAATATTAGTTCAACAAACCAAATCCATTTGGGTGGTGAAAATTAGATTTTTAACAAACTTAAATATGTGGGTTTAGATTCGAATTTGATTTTGTGAGAAATTTAGAGTGGGTATTATCAAGAATTGTTAGAAATAGTATAAGGAGGTTGTATATAAAATTTGAAGTCATTTAATGGAGATTTGGACTGATTTTGAACAAGAATTGCAACTGAAAATCTTGCTCAAATCTACTCCAACTCACTTGAAATTTAAATTTTGAACTCATTTTGATATCACCAATTCACGATGAAAACTTCTAGATCTCAAAACTTTAGCTTCGTCAGTGGCGGAAAATTAGAGCTGAAAATTAGAGAGGAGAAAAGATAGGATGAAAGATAGATCTAAAAATTATAGAAGATAGAAGATGACTATGGGAGATAGATCCAAAAAATATAGAGGATAGAAGATGATGGCCCGTAGAGAATGAAGAGGTACATGGAGAGAGAGCGTTTTGGGCGTAGGGAAAAAGAGAACTAGTTTAGTGATTGAAATCTTTCCTTGGAATTCTATACAAGCTGGGCTATACCGGGTAAACTTAAAAAATATGGGCAATTTTTTGTTACGGTGTGAAGTCAAGTGTATTTTCTTGCAATTCTTTCTATTATATAAGCGTGTATAAACACCAATTATACAAGATTTACACTTAAAAATACCATATGTCTACCATTGTACCTCAAATTTGACACCAAGAGTACCACACAAGAATCGGCTCAAGATAAGTCCAAATGAACCCGAAACTCTGAACAACTAAAGGTGATTAAAATCAACTTTATCCAGATTAAACAACGAAAAAGCTTACAAGGGAAGGAATTCGCTCAAATTGAATTTAACAGGTAAAATAGGCGTCAAAACATAGATATTTTCACACATCGTTACAAATTAAGCTATCATCATTCGGACCAAAGGATGACAATAGACCCGAATTGACACGCATAATTATTAATTATTCCCGGTCAAGGCCACAATAAGACATGCGGATTTCAAGAAGTTTCGGACCTAAGAAGAATAGCCTGAAGATATTTGTAAGATGTAAAAACAACGACGGAACAAGGTATTTTCGAAAAATTTACGAATAGAATACAGTCAACAAAGATATTGTATCATCATCAAAAGTAATTGTATTGCTATCGGGAAACAGTTGCAAGCAAACATTAGATCCGAATCTAACATTGTCGGGTGGTGTTAACTCTGTTATGGCTCTATTTGCACAACTTTTAAGTTTTAAAAATTGGGACAAAATCTAAACAATGACTTAAAAATAGACATTTGCATGAATCAGTTAAAGCAGAAAAGCCCATAAAGCCCAAATATCCTTCTGTAGAGCTTTGGGTTGGGCAAGCCCATGACATCTTAGGCTAGTGATACGTTCGGGTAATAAATGTTCGAGGCCCCAGACCAAATATATGCAACTAAAACAGATTCGTTTCCGAGTTTATTCATCTAAACTAACGGGGCATTTGCATCTATACCCGCTTTTTGTGCCACATTTTAACATGTGCCTGTTTTGCAAAAAAAATTGCAAGCGTACCCGCTTTTTCGCATAACTTCAGCACACGGGGCTGAAGTAGCAAAGGCAATCACACAAAACTTCGGCATTTTAGTAGCCGGGCCTGAAGTTCAGCTCTAGAAAACTTCAGCTCTAGAGCTGAAGTTTTTGTCTTTGTAACCGGGAAACTTCAGCTCTAGAGCTGAAGTTTTTATTTTATAAGTTTTTCTTTTGTACTGGAAAACTTCAGCTCTAGAGCTGAAGTTTTTGTCTTTGCCAGTTATAAAATAAAAACTTCAGCTCTAGAGCTGAAGTTTTATTTTATAAGTTTTTCTTTTGTACTGGAAAACTTCAGCTCTAGAGCTGAAGTTTTTGTCTTTGTAACCGGAAAATTCTATGTTGTAACTAGAAAACTTCAGCTCTGGAGCTGAAGTTTTTGTGTTGTAACTGAAAAACTTCAGCTCTAGAGCTGAGTTTCTATGTTGTAACTAGAAAACTTCAGCTCTAGAGCTGAAGTTGTGTTGTAACTGAAAAACTTCAGCTCTAGAGCTGAAGTTTCTATGTTGTAACTAGAAAACTTCAACTCTAGAGCTGAAGTTTTTGTGATACAGTTACATCTAATTAACTGTATTGTGATCATCTAATGCATCCGATTTTGCGTTCTGTTTTTATTGCAAAATAAATGCTTTGTTGTTATGTTATTTCGTTTTCGAAAACTTTTCTTTTTAACATTTGAATCTCTGATCGCTGATGATCAGTTTCTCCATTTTCTTTACGGTTTCTATGTTTTGTCTATATTACAACAAATTTGATTTTCGTGTTGCTGTTTTTTTGTTGGATAAAAATTGGTGCCTTTTTCTGATCAATGGTATGACCATATCATTCCTCAGTCCTCACGGAGTTGTGTTTCCAGACAATGAGAAAATGAAGAAGGAGAAGGGGAGGAGAAAGGGAAGCTGAAGTTTTTTAAAAAGTGGGTACGGGTGCAAACAGAAAGACAAAGCGGCTATAGGTTAAAAAGGGGCGCCGAAATAGGGCGCCCCGTGCAATTTTTACTAAACTAACAGTATGACATATTGGAATAATTAAGTACATTTAATTTGTGTGTATATATATCAAAATTGCTTTAAAATAAATATCAATTTGGGGAAAAAAGTAAAGGTCTAGAAGATAATCATTTTCTCCAATTGTTTCGTAAATATAGAAAACCCATGATTTTTTTTGTATAATTAGTACAGATTTGAATTTAAAAAATATTTGTGGGTATAACATTTGTGCATCATTTTAAAACATAGTTCGATTGCTATCCAATTAAGGCTTGCTCTTTTAAAGGGGCTTTTGCATCTATACTCGGTTTTTGGGTTACAATTGAACCTATATCAACTTTGCAAAAAAAAAAATGCAAGTCTACTCACTTTACAATCAACTTCAGACTTATCGGATCTGAAGTTAAAAAAAATTAGTCTAAAGTAAAAACTTTTTTACTTCAGATGCACTTAAGGCCAAATAGGTCTGAACTCTGAAGTGCAACCAATTATTTCATGCACTTAGGGCCAATAAGTCTGAAGTGAAAAATTGCACTTCAGATACACTTAAGGCCAAAAAGTCTGAAGTGCAACAAACGTTGTCCTACATTTAAGGCCAATAAGTCTGAAGTGAAGTTTTGGACTTCAAATGCACTTAAAGCCAAAATGTCTGAAGTGCAATAAATATTTTCCTATATTTAAGGCCAATAAGTCTGAAGTGAAAAATTGTATTTCAGATACACTTAAGGCCAAATAGGTCTGAAGTGCAACCAATGGTTTCATGCACTTAAGGCCAATAAGTCTGAAGTGAAAATTTGCACTTCAGATGCACCTAAGACCAAAAGATCTGAAGTGCAACCAACGTTTTCATGCACTTAAAGCTAAATAGGCCTGAAGTACAAATTGCCCGAAAACCAAAATTTGTTCTTCGAATTTCAATAAATTCAACATACGATTTAATACCTAAATATACTCCAAATGGGCTCAATTTTGAAACATAACCTCCAAATATCATCAAGAACAAACGCCAATCATCAATTTGTCAAAACAATAATAAATCTAACGAACCCATTTTGCAATTAAGAAAGAGAAGAAGAAGAAACCTTAAGCAATAGTAAAAAAAAAAAAACCCAAAACAACTCACCACTATAAAATATCATGAACTACCTTAAAATATGTTCGCAAACGCCAAATAAATTCATTGTCACCCGAAGACGACGACAACAACAACAACAACAATAACAATAACAACAACAGTCTAGTGGAATTCCATAAGCGGAGTCTGGGAGGGTAGGATGTACGCAGCCTTACCCCTACCTTGGAAGGGCAGAGAGACTGTTTCTGATTGACCCTCGGCTAAAGAAGATGGAATAAGCGTTGATAGCAAGACCATATATTTAGAAAACGAAATCGAAGATAGCAATAAAGAATATGAAAGAAGTACCGATAGCAATTACTAGCAAGACAATACATTTAGAGAACTAAATTTGAGGGTTTGTTAACAATAGAGAATATGAATAGAGTACTGATAGCAAACTAAGGAAGTACTGATGTCAAGTAATAACATAACAAGATATGCGAAAATAGCAAACTCAGAATAAAAGGGTCTCATACTAACACTAATACTATCAAACTAATGAAGACAAAGAAAAACGCAGGACTACCTACTAACGTCTACCCTAATCCTCAACTTTCACACCTTCTTATCCAGGTCATGTCCTCGGTTAGCTCACTATCACCCAAAGAAGAAGAAGAAAAAGAAGAAAGAGGAGAAAAAAATGAAGTTGTTTAAACTTTGGATACAAGTTAACTTTTTTTTTTAAAAGGAATCTTACAAAAATGTCCCAAAAAAGTCCTAATCACCAACCTCTAGCCATTAATCATAGACTTACCAAAGCTAGTCAAACACATATAAAAATTAAAAATAAAAATAAATAAGGTTCTTTCTCTCCAAGAATCACACATAAAGATCTCCTTCCATATTTATGCGTGATTAGTAACATTAGATAATGCAAGACAGAAAGAAAATTTCGTGAATGAGGTAGCAAATAAGGTGATGAAACACAACGACAACAACAACCCAGTATATTCCCACGTGTGGGGTCTGGGGAGGGTAATATGTACGCAGACCTTACCCCTACCCCGAGGGGCAGAGAGGCTGTTTCCAGGAGACCCTCGGCTCAAGAAAGAAACAAGTGGCAGAAACAAGTGACGATATATTAGTACTCTCAATAGACTCATAATAAATAACATAAAATAGACAACATAACCTGAAATAACATAAAATAACAAATAACAGCAATATAAGGAATATAGGAAATACGAGAAAGAGGAAAGTATACTAATATCTATAATATAAAGCCCTGCATCAGTAGCTGATCAGTAGCATCCTAAGCCTAACTCCTAACTGTCTAGTCTCACTCTAGCGCGCTGTAGAAATATTCCCAACTTCCCCTAACCTACAACCTTAATGCTCGACCTCCACAATCCCCTGTCAAGGGCCATGTCCTCAGTAATCCTAAGTCGCGTCATGTCCTGCCTGATCACCTCGCCCCAATACTTCTTAGGTCTCCCTCTACCTCTCCTCGAGCCCACCCCGCCAGTCGCTCACAACTTCTTACCGGTGCATCAGTGCTCCTCCTCTGAATGTGCCCGAACCATCTGAGTCTTGCTTCCCGCATCTTGTCCTCCATGGGCGCCACGCCCACCCTCTCTCGAATAACTTCATTCCTAATCTTATCCATCCTTGTATGCCCACACATCCACCTCAACATCCTCATCTCCGCAACTCGTATCTTCTGGATGTGTGAGTTCTTAACCGGCCAACACTCGGTCCCATACAACATGGCCGTTCTAACCACTGCTCTATAAAATATACCTTTTAGTAACGGTGGCACTTTCTTGTCACACAGGACTCTCGTTGCTAACCTCACTTCATCCACCCCACCCCTATACGGTGTGTGGACATCGGTCCCTCGAATAACTGACCCAAGGTACATGAAACTACCCCTCGGAGGGATGACTTGGGAGTCAAGCCTCACTTCCACTCCCGCGTCCGTCGGCTCGGGCCCCAAATTTGCACTCGAGATATTCCGTCTTCGTCCTGCTCAACCTGAAACCTTTAGACTCAAGGGCCTGTCTCCAAACCTCTAGTCTCTCGTTGACGCCGCGTCTTGTCTCGTCAATTAGGACTATATCATCAGCAAATAGCATACACCATGGCACCTCCCCTTGAATATTATGCGTAATGGCATCCATCACCAGGGCAAATAGGAAAGGGCTGAACGCAGACCCTTGGTGCAACCCCGTAACAACCGGAAAATGCTCGGAGTCGCCTCCTACTGTCCTAACCCGGGTCTTAGCTCCATCATACATGTCTTTAATCACCCTAATGTAGGCACCCGGGACCCCTTTAACCTCTAAGCATCTCCATAAGACCTCCCTAGGAACCCTGTTGTACGCTTTCTCTAGATCGATAAACACCATGTGGAGATCCTTAACTGGTTGTCTGAAATAGACACCGTCCTTCGCACTCTCATTTCTACCACTCTTTCCCAGACTTTCATGGTATGATTCAGTAGTTTGATACCCCTATAGTTGTTACAGCTCTGGATATCGCCTTTGTTCTTATATAACGGAACCATTGTACTCCACCTCCACTCTTCAGGCATCCTATTAGTCTTGAATATAACATTAAACAACCCAGTAAGCAATTCCAAGCCTGCTTTGCCCACACACCTCCAAAGTTCAACTGAAGTTTCGTCTGGCCCGGTAGCTCTGCCCCTCCTCATCTTACGCGTTGCCTCCATGACCTCATCGACCTCAATGTCTATACAATCACTTATCTCACGTGGGCTGTCAGCATTTCGCAAATCACCTAGTACAATATCCAGATCCCCTTCTCCATTCAGAAGTTTATGAAAGTAGGTCTGCCATCTCCTCTTAATCTGTTCATCCCCCATCAAAACTTTGCGGTCATCATCTTTTATGCACCTCACTTGGTCCAGATCCCGAGCCGTCCTCTCTCTCACCTTAGCGAGTCGGAATAGCTTCTTCTCCCCGCCTTTGTTCCCTAGCTCCTCATACAGACGAGCAAACGCTGCCGTCTTAGCCTCCGTAACTGCCATCTTCGCCTCCCTCCTAGCAACCTTATATCTCTCACTGTTTCGCTCTCTTCTCCTCCTCGCCAGTGCTCCCTAATAACCGCAGGTAAGCCGCCTTCTTCGCTTCCACTTTACCTTGGACAACTGCATTCCACCACCAGTCTCATTCGTGGCCACCGGTGCGTCCCGAAGATATCCCTAACACCTCTCTCGCCGCCTTCCTTATACAGTCTGCCGTCGTCGACCACATAGTGTTTACATCCCCACTACTTCTCCAAGCTCCCATTGCCGATAACCTTCCTACCAACTCCTGAGCTTTATCCTCAATCAAGGCGCCCCACCTAATCCTCGGGCAGCCTCGTAATGACCTCTTCTTCCTCCTTGTCATAATACCAATGTCCATCACCAAAAGCCTATGTTGCGTCGCAAGGGTCTCACCTGGGATAACTTGGCAAGCCTCGCACAACCTTCTGTCGCATCTCCTGAGAAGAAGATAGTCAATCTAAGTCTTCGCCACCGAACTTTGGTAAGTAACCAAATGCTCCTCCCGCTTAGGAAAACTAGAGTTCGCAATCACTAGATCGAATGCCTTGGCAAAGTCCAACAGCGAAGTGCCCCCTCCGTTCCGCTCCCCGAAACCAAAGCCGCCATGTACCTCAGTATAACCACCTGCAGACGACCAATAATGACCATTAAAATCTCCTCCTATAAATAACCTCTCGGAAAGCGGAATACTCCGAACGATGTCATCCAACACCTCCCAAAAGCGCCTTTTAATCTCCTCATCCAAGCCTACTTGCAGCGCGTATGCGCTAACAACATTTAAAGTACACTCACCCACCACCAATTTAATGGTCATTAGTCTATCATTCACCCGCCTGACCTCAACCACCGACTCTCTAAGGTGGCTATCTACTAGAATACCCACTCCGTTCTTACCCCTCAGGACTCCAGGGTACCACAGCTTATACCCATCCATATTTTTCGCCCTCGATCCGACCCACCTAGTTTCCTGGACACACGCTATATTAATATTCCTCTTCTGAAGGATCTTCGCCAACTCTATGGACTTACTCGTTAGCGAACCTATGTTCCATGACCCGATTCTCAACCTATAGGCTCCCTTGCCCCCTCTACCTCCCCTGCCTCCCGTCCCACACCCTGACCCCGGCCCCACACGAGGACATGCCCTTAATCTATCATCCCAGAATGCAGCCACTACACCTACGGCCAATTTAAAGAAGAATCGCTAGTGCACAACGGACAACGAATCAAACTAGAAGGAAACAAGTGACTACAAGTACACAAGTAGAATGACTGAACTATTGTGAACTAAAGTAACATCAAATTAGCTAACACCAAGAGGGAAACCGTAGAACGGGAGGTACCAACTCCCGAGAACCAAACCTGTGTTGACTTGCTGTACTCGATGTAGTTGTACGCTCACGCACCGCTTCCCACCGCCCTTTGATACCGCTCTTCCCGGTTGCTCTCCTTTGCTAGTGTTTGTGCGCCCAACTTGCCTTCAACAAGTTCGAGAATTTCCCTGAAAACACAGAAAATACCACGACCCAAAAACCAAAAGGGCTGTCACCGCTACCACTGGTGTAGCCCTGACAGTAGTAGGGGAAATGTAGGGAAAAAGCAGAGGACTACACAAAATTCACCAAGTAAAATGAAGAAAAAGATAAAGTAAAAAGCTTTTAGAGAAGCAAAATAAACAAATTACCAAGATCAAATTAGATCTACAGCTGAAACAGAGAAATTCAAAATATTGAGCGAACGGGAGAACAAAGAGAATAAATTGTAATTGTTCGAGCGAAACAGACCAAAAAAGGGGAGACCGATCCAAGAATCTATCACACTACTACACAAAAAACTATAAATTGAGCAACAAATTAGCATAAATACACCGATTAAAAAGGTAAACAATTAATTTATAGGCTATCTATACAGAACTCTCAGCAACTACAAAGTTCATATTAGAAGAGGGAAAGACCAAACTGGGCATTCCAAAAAACAAAAAACAAAAAACAAACCTTCTTTGCTCCACTGTACAACCAAATCAAAATTCATCAACAAAAATTACAAAATTTCACATGCACATATACAGAAATTGCAAAACAAAAGTACCTTTTTGAGAACTATTATAAAATCCTACGAATGTGAAGACGAAATTGAACCTGTCGCAGTGAAATTTGACGGCCGAATAGAACCTGTCGCTGTGAAATTTGAAGACGGATATGGTTTGTATGTCACCACGGCACCGCAACCGGGCCAGAAACCTGACTGTGGTTGTTCCCACTCGCCGACGACTGATTCGTGTCTCGCCGGAGTGAGAGGGGGAGAAGACAGTACGGGAGAGGAGGAAAGGAGGGGTGAGAGAGATGTGCAGAGAGAGAGAGAGGAGGGGTGTTGGATGATGGGGAGGAGAGAGGGGCGAGGGGACTTACCTGGGCGGAGGGTGGTCGCCGGCGACTGATGTAGTCGCTGTTCGAAATTTCCAATATTACTATTGGCAGCGAGCGTTTGGAGAGAGAGCGCGTATTGATAAAATTTAAGCTAACCACGTCAGACGTGAGCGTATTTTTTTTTTAAGGTGATGAAACACAAAAAATTATATATACAAGATTCCAAAAATCTAAGCAAAAATGACTTTTTTGAATGGGTATGGTTGAGATTCATTGAAAACATATACCGTCAGACCTCTTTATAACATTTCCCTATCTAACAACACTTCACTATAAAAGCCAAGCTTTTCCTGAACCAATTTTCATGTTATGTTATAATATGTTCTATATAACAGCAGTTCGCTACACATCCAAAAATATTCGGAACAAAAGAAGATGTTATAGAGAGGTTTGACTGTAGATGAGTCAATATACAAAATGAGAAAGATTGGAGGTGATTTGGACTGATTTAGAACCAAAATTCGTAGTTAAAATCGATTTCAAAAAATTCTTCTGTGACACATGTATCAAACATGTATCACACATGTACATCTCACACACAGGTATACATGTGATACACGTTTCATACAAATATGATACATGTTTGATACTGTCACGACCCGGATTTCCCACCATCAGAGTCGTGATGGCGCCTACTCGTGGTAGCTAGGCAAGCCAACTTAATTACCCTTCCATCACTAGCAATTATCTTTAACAGTTTATAACATCAATATAGAACATAAGGTCTAATAAGAACAATAGCGGAAGTCTGTCTTAAAATGATGAATTTAAAACGCGGAATAGTCAAAAACAACCTCTACCCAAGATTTGGTATCACATTACTCACGAACCACTAAGAATAAACTAAATACAAAGGTCTGAAAGAAATATAACAGCTGTCTGTCTCGAAACAAGGAGGCAACAGTCTAAAAGAAAACAATGAGAAGAGACGCCGGGCCTGCGGACGCCTGCAAGGCTACCTCAGTCTCGTGAATATGAATCGCCTGCTTCCGAACTACTGCTGCTGCTGTTCCTCAAAACCTGGACCTGTGCAAAAATGCACAGAAGTGTAGCATCAGCACAACCGACCCCATGTGCTGGTAAGTGTCTAGCCTAACCCCGGCGAAGTAGTGACGAGGCTAGACTGGACACCACATAAACCTGTGCAGTTATAAATATACCACGGAAATCGAATACAAAGCAATTAACAACATGGGAGGGGAGACATGCTAAGGGGAGATACAATATTAACAACAATCCAGAGTAACCACTAAAAACAGCTTAGGTTCACAATGAATAAAGAATCGATACTCAAATACAAACACATAGCCTCAATAACTGTTGCGGCGTGCAACCCGCTCCATAATTACTATTGTTGCGGCGTGCAACCCGCTCCACAAATACCAGTGTTGCGGCGCGCAACCCGATCCTCACCTTTTACTGTTGCGGCGTGCAACCCGATCCTCAATATCATTGTACAGTCCGACTCCCCAAACAATAGTCACAATCAAGCGGCACAAAATAAGCAAATATTTGACAACCATCCCGGCAAGGGAAAGAATCCAACAAGCTCAACCAAACGTCCCGACAAGGGAATAATCAACAACGCTTTTTTTTTTTTTTTTACTTTCCTTATCTTATAATTCACTTTACTATTTTGAGCCAACGCTCCAAAGAATCAAGTCATTTCGTATACTTTCAATATTCGTATCACAATTCGAGCCAATGCTCCCAGGAATCAAATGATCCTATTACCGTTCACATGTTATTCACAACATATATAAATCCTCCAATAAACACGGAGTTCACAACCAAATCATGATAATCACATTATAAGACTCACGGTCATGCTAGACACCAATGTATAGATACTTGTCACCATGCCTATACATCGTACTCGATCACATAGCAATTAGCAACAAGACTCGACTCCTATTCCCTCAAGCTAGGGTTAAACCAAACACTTACCTCAAAGCCTTGAAATCCACTTAATCCTCAACTATCGCTTTACCTCGTGATTCCACCTCCAATACAGTGATATCTAGGCATAATTAATTCAACAATATCAATAAAGACTCAATGGCAATTTCTCATAGCCTAGATATAAATTTTCTAGCATTATTCCAAAAATACCAAAATTAGACACCGGGCCCACATGGTCCAAACTCGAGGCTCGAACCAAAACCCGATCACCCATAACCCCACGAGTGCAAATATATAATTTGTTTTAAGATTCGACCCCAAATTGAGGTTGAATCACCCAAAATTCTCAAAAACCTAACTCTACCCAAAACCCTTAATTTCTACTTTGATTTCATGATTTAGGGCTAGGAATTTAGTAAGTAGATGAAGAAATAATGAGGGAAAGATGTTAAGATTACTTACCCAAAGAGTTATGGAGGAAGAAGAGCTTGAATTTCGTCTATGGAGGGTTTAAGAGGAGAGCCCGTGTGAAAAGAATGAAGAAATCCCGTCACTGGTTCTGTTTTGAGCTTTTAAATTAACTGGACGAAATTGCCCTATGCGATCGCGGGAAAGGGAATGCGATCGCATAGGGTAAAGTGAGCTGGTCACTGCGATCGCGGGATGATGGGTGCGATCGCATAGAGGGTCAAAGTGGGGCTGGGCCTTTTGTGAATTGCGATCGCAGAAGGGGGGTGTGCGATCGCATAGAATGGGTTTGCAGAGGTATGCGATCGCATAGAACAAAACTGGGCGACTCCAAAATAACTCTACGCGATCGCAGACACACCTATGCGATCGCATAGAAGAAAATGACTGGGCACTGACTGCAGAGATTCTGCAACACTTCCTAGGCCAAAAACACCCCGAACCACCTCCGAATCACTCCCGAGCCCTCGGGGCTCCTAACCAAACACACACACTAACTCAATAACATCCTACGAACTTAACCGAGCGATCAAATCGCCAAAATAACGTCAAAATCATTGAATCAAGCCCCAAACTCATCATTTCTATTTCAAACTTCATAAACTTCCAACTTTAGATAATTAGGTCCGAAACACGTCAAACGACGTCCGATTTCGACCAAACTTCACAGAAAGCGCTTAAACAATATATAAGACTTGTGCCGGGCGTCGGAACCAAATTACGAGCCCGATACCACAGTCTTTTGATAAATTTTCATTTCCATTTTCCTTAATAATTTCAGAAAAACAATTTCACAGAAAAATTCATTTCTCGGGCTCTAGACCTCGGAATTCGACTCCGGGCACATGCCCGAGTCCCATATTTTTCTACGGACCTTCCGGGACCGTCCAATCTCGAGTCCGGGTCCGTTTACCAAAAATGTTGACCGAAGTCAACCTTAAACATATTAATATCAAAATTCTTCAAATTTTTCACAGAATTCACATATTTCAACATAAAAGCTTTCCGGCTACGCGCCCGGAATGCGCACGAAAATCGAGGCAAGTAAAAATGAGGTTTTCAAGGCCTCGGAAGCACAGAATGAATGAGGAAACAGGTGATGACCCTTTGGGTCGTCACAGATACACAAGTTATACACATTGTGATACACATATAAATTTTTTCATGTTCATCTTCTACTTCGAATTTTTAATTCAAACCACCTCAAAACTCCACTAAATCATCCCAAAACTGAGATTCAAGCTCCTTAAAGATGTACCCAATCTATTCTAATAACACCCACTCAAAGGAAAGCAAAAATTTGACCTGTTTTTGGATACAAATAGCTAATTGGCTAATATTTTAGGAATTGACCAATTTTTGTAATAAGATACTTATAAATGGACATAGCTGGTATTTTTCTTTTAAAAAATAGGTACAGGTTAAATGGGGACGACCAAAAAAGATGCCCCATGCAATTTTTACCTTTAAATTAGACAATTATATTAATGCAGTTTACGAACTTGTTGTACAAATAACTTGTAGAAGTGCTTTTGTATAAATTATTTTAAAGTAACTAGATAAAAATATGTCTAGTAATTGTCGCATTTCCAAATGGGGCCTAAGTAGCACTTCCATTTCGTTATCAGAAAATAACAAGTTAACACAATTAACAACAATATAAGTGTGAAAGAAGACGAAGATTAATCTATTATTATTACAAAATCAAAGACATGAGCAGATCCACAACAAATGGCTTACGTTGACAAGTCTTTAATGTTGACGTGGTAAATATAACAGCATATTCCTAGGTACGTAGAATTGTTAAACATTGACCCATTCACAAATTAAATAGACCATAAAAGTATAGCAAGATTCGGTTCCTTTAATGAAGCAAAGACGTGTGGTGCAATTTGCAAACATTGATCTACGACTATTATAATAAGACTTTAAGTTTGGAACATCAATAGTGTACAGATTTTTGTACTATGAATTAATCTGATCTACAATAACTACAATCACTTTACATATTAAGTCTGATATGACAACATAAAATATAGAATAAATTGTTATAGTATGTTAACTTAAACTATAACAATAATAATATACACATGTAATCTCACAAGTGGGTCTGGAAAGCGTGAGGTATAGGCTGACATTACACTTACTTTGTGAGAAGTAGAGAGAGGTATTTAGTAGACCATCAGCTCAAAAAAAAAATATTTTCAAAATCGATTTAAACAAAAAAGAATACGAGTAAAAGTTATGGTGAAAATATTATAGATAGGAACGAAAAGATACTGCCAACAAAAGTAGTAAAAATACCCAAATAAAAAAATAAATTCGAAGAGTAGAACAATAATAGGGCAATGATAATGGAACTGACAAGCAGAAGATGGAGCAAATAAAGTGTTCGAAACTATAACCAAGTTCTCTCACAGAAGAATGGAGCAAACAATGACACTGCTAATATTGATCAATTACCTATTAACTTTTTACCTATTTTTTTAATTTTTTTATCTAGGGTCATATTATTTTCGAAGAACTGAAGAAGTATGTTAACTTACTCTGATGTTATAAAAGTATTTATACAATAAAATATGAATGTGTATAACTTAAATCTTTGCCATGTGGAAGATTATGATGTATCAACTAACCTTGGTTTTATTCAAATTTGGAACTTTACTTGGTCTATATTTATCAACCTGCTTTTTTTTTTTATTTAATGAAAAAAGCATACTTCAACTTGTTTTGAATTTTCAACGACTGATGGTCACCTTTACTTAAGAAATGGTGAAAAGAATATCAAAAAGGGTTGTGTTGGACTATGGTAAGTACTATTTCATTCTTAACCAGAGGTTTAGAGTTTGAGTCTTAGGTATAAAGTCGTCTTTGTTACGGAATGTTTTATCCCTAATATGAGATTTTCAAAGCGAACTTAGATTTAGTCGAGCCCAATATGAATATCCGACACTGGACAAGAAACAAAAAAAATGAAAAGAGTAGATGTGCCAAGATAAAGGAAGGTGAGACGTTGAGTCGTTATAAAGCCAGGTCAGATGCATGGAAAAACTGAAAAAAAAGAAAAGAAAAGAGAAAGTGGCGGAATATATCTCGAATTAGAAGTTACTTTAACGCTACTTCTGCCATCCCATACTCATATATTCCATGTTCTCCTTTATTTGCGCATCACAAAATATACATTATTTCTAAAGTAGTTTACATTTCATAATTTAAATTTCCAGATCATTGCTGAGTCAATTGGTCTTTTTCCACATATATTAACTATGCAAAAATAATAAAATATAATTATGAAGTAGTTGTTTGAAAATGAAGTCATATGTTTCGTGTTTCCGAGCAAAGGCGGACCTATGTTTGTAGAAGATGAGTCACCAGACCCCGTTAATTTCGGCAAAAGAAATTAAATATATAATGTATATATGCCAAAAAACAGTCATATATTTTACATGGAACCCTCGAAATCAAAATCTGCTAGGGGCACCAGTTGAGCGGTCGCTCATGTTTCCCATCACCTTTATGTTCTTTATATTCTGGGTCTGCTTCTGTTTCTGAGCATCGAAATATTTGACCAGTAGGCCAAACTCAAGATAATTTTTGTTATTAAAAAAAAAAAAAAAGTACGATCATCTACTTAGAAACGGATCTAGGATTTCTAGTACATGGGTGCACTACTAAAAAAAATTGAGGAAAGATGTATTAAGTGGGAATTGATTCCTATTTCTCTTGGTAAATAGTTCAACCTTCAACCAAGTGAACCATTCAACTTTCTTGGAGCATAAGTGCCAACAGTCAATATTATACCAATTTTAGAAAATATGTACATAAAATATCTAATTTTGCGGAAAGACCATGAATTCACGTGCCCCATAATATCCGTATAAATCCGCCCCTGCATCTACTCATTTTTTTAGTAATCCTCCGTAGGCCAAGCATTGGATATTAATTGAACAACATGCCAAACACAAGATGTTTTTGTTAAAGAAAATAAGTTGTTTCCACGTCGAAAATAGGACCAAATGTCTATATCTTCACTTACCGTTTATTGTATTAACATTTTAATTCCAGATGATCACGATTCAGGACTGTAGTTATACAACTTACTATTATCAATTACTAGTGGTAATGAGCTATTTGTAATGGAAAACAATGATAATTATTTATTAGAAACTGTTGAAACTGAAACTCAAAAAAGACCCGTGAGAAATTGTTAATAGAATTTTAAAAAATGATTTATCCCAAGTGAAAATTACAATTTACGTAACAAATAAGTTTGAATTCTCTATTTTGCTTTCGTATAAGCAAAAAAGTAAGTCTTGATCTCACGTTAAAGTTTGCGGTATTTTTGTTTCATAGCATATTTCTCTCATCCTAATTTGAGTAAAACTCTTTTTCTAATTTAAATTATTGGCATCATTCACATGTAATGTTAATTTTCATGAGTTTGTTGTTTTACATTGTAAATTTTATTAAATTATTTAAATTTTGTTACTTTGATGTGATTTTTTCAAGTTTATTTTTTAAATTTTTTTATTACTAAATTAATGTCATAAAATTTGTACAAAACCAAACATGTCATATAAAAGAATGAGATGAAGTATTTTTCTTCTTCGGACCAAAATAAGAAGTGTATTTTTCTTCTCACGCACCGAATGGAGGTTGCGAATATTCCCTCCACCGCACAAACTTAATCCCTTTAACGGCAACTTCCCACCCTCCGTTTCCCATCAAACCCAGCCAATCGACCGTTAGGAACTCCGTCATTTTCACCGTCTAAGGATCCCACCACTCCCACATCTAAACAATCAGAAACATCCACGTGTCCCGGATATTTCTAATATTCGCTTCCACCATAGAATCTTCATTTTCTCTTTGTTTTTGTTTGAGCTGCTTAAATGGCAAAGTAGTGTTAAACAGCAGAGCGGGAAGAGGGAGAACGCGTTTTACATTACAGGTTCATCAAACAGAACTCTCTCCTTTACTCAACTGCTATCTCTTTCTCTTTCTCTCTCTAGGGTTTATTCTCTTTCTCTCTCTCTTTTTTGATTTCTATAAATACTCGTTCGTCTTTGCCGTTGTTCATACGCTTTCATTTTCTAGATCTGAGCTCTGTGTGTGTGTTTCCACTTTCTACCGACGCTCTTACTCCTTTCGTGCTTCAGGTACGAATCGTTTTCTTCCAAAGCATTTTACGTACTTTTTGTTGTCATATTTTTTTTTATTTCACTTTAATTTTGTTATTCGAACAATGCGCTAAATGTTAATCTCTCTTTGGTAAATGTGTTTGATGATCTTCATTTCCTTGTTTTAGGCTTTCCTTTCCTTTTCTTTTTCTTTTTTTGTCGTTTTGTAACAATGCTTTTACGGATCGTTTTCTCTACGACTTCTTTTTTTTTTTTACTGATATATTTAGTAAATGCTTTAAGGACTTAATTTTGCTCATTTATTTCCATTTTTTGAAGTTTTTTTGTGCTTAAAAACGATTTTGTTTCTTCAGGTACGGATCGCTTTCTTCATGAAATTTAACTCTGTTTTTATTCTTCAGTAAATGTGTTTAAGCACCTTCGTTTCTCCGTTTTGGGCATTGATTTCTTTTCTGAAGCTTTTTGTCGTTTCTTCCATATGTATATTTCATGTATTTGTCATTTTTCTGGAGTTCATTTCGTGTAGTATTAAAGGTTTTCTGCTTTCGGTTTCATTCTGCTTTGAGTTCTTCACGTATTTCATGAATTCGTGAATGGAAATGTCGTGAGTCATATTCCGCGTGTACATTTGACTCTAGTTGAGCGGAATTATTGGTGATGGTTCTAGTAGGTTCCTGTACTTCTGTTATCCTTGTTACATTAAGTTTTAACAGTTCTGTAATTCGAGCCATCATAATTGCATATCTAGAGCTAAATGAGATAGATCTGGCATTGCTGGTTGTACGTATAGATCAGCATTGCAAATTATAACCTCAATATCAAATGTTATATCGTATGTATAATTTATCTGTTAATAAGGTCTTTTGATTTCTCCAAAGGTGGACAATGCTTCTTGATGTTAAAGAATTATAATCTGTGACTGATAGCCTTCTAAAATTTTGTTTAATTTGATTCTGAGTCTGGGCACTGGATCTATAGATATACATATATTTCTTCCCTGTTGTTTTTGTTGGAGAATTTCATTCAATTGCTCTGCTTGAAAAGTTAAGCATTTGCTATACCTATAGAGATTCTTATGTGCTACTAATACCTTGATGTCCAGCTAGCAACGATGGTTCCACCTATCGAAACTCCAGTCAAGGCTTCAGTATCCCACAAGTCCTCCATTCCACCTCTTAATGAAAGAATACTTTCCTCCATGACACGGAGATCAGTTGCAGCTCATCCTTGGCATGATCTCGAGATAGGTACTTTACACATTCTGTAAAGGCAACAGCCTTCCCCACAATTGTGCAAAGAAATTGTTCGTGGACTATTCATGAGCTAAATTTTTTTGTTTTGTTGCAGGACCTGGTGCCCCACAGATTTTCAATGTGGTAAGGTTTCTTTGTATTGCTTCAAAATTTTAGAACTGATATTTAATATTTTTGCACCTTGAAATCAGTTTATATGATGCAATTTCTGCTTCGCATATAAGCTGAATAATAACTGGCTCGGTCCGCATGTTAACTCTTTTTATTATTTACCTAGGTGATGTCAAGTCCAAAACAGATTGTAAATCTTTGAGCTTTTTATGAGCAAGCAAGTATGATTAGTTTTCAAGTCGGATGCCTAAATTTCGTATTAGATAACATTAGCTGACAAAATCTGAATCAAACAAAATGTTTCCAAGAAGTCTTCATTTGCCGTTGCTTTGACTTTATGCTATCCTATTAAGTGGTGCTTTACTTCTCTAATTGTAATATCTAAAGACTCCAGATTCTTCTGCCTAAGGTGGACTTTTCTCCTAAGAAATATCTTTTGTACGTGAATCTATCATTTGGTTGGTGTAGGTGGTTGAGATCAGTAAGGGGAGCAAGGTGAAGTATGAACTTGATAAAAAAACTGGACTGATCAAGGTATGAGTGGTATCCTTTCCAGACGAGTAAAATTATGGAAGTTTTAGCTGAGTTACCTGAAACATTCCGTCATTCCAGGTTGATCGTGTTCTTTATTCATCAGTTGTATACCCCCATAACTATGGGTTCATCCCTCGTACCCTTTGTGAAGACAGTGACCCTCTGGATGTCTTAGTCATCATGCAGGTGAGCTGATTCTCCTTTCCATTGTCCTGATAAATAACACATCTTGGATATTAGGTGATTGTTGAACTGCTGTTAAGGATCTAAGAAATTACCTTATAACTTACATGTCTTATGCGTAAGCAAGAGAGGGACGAGATATAGTCCCTCTAACTACTTAAAAACAGTGCTGGAGACAGACAAAAATGCTGATCTAGTCCTGGAATTAGGTCTCATTATAGGCATCTGTAATCTCAGTATTTGTTCTAAATAAAAGAAGAACTTATGAGTCGTCATATACTAATTCAAAATCAATTCAATCTCTCTCCTCAGTGCTGAATTATGTGGATAATCCGTTAGATTGTTACCCTGTATAACCTATTGACCTCCGTATTATATGTTGTAGATCTATATTTAATGAAGCTGTTGATCTTTCTTAAGAAGCCAAGCCTTCAATAGTTTGTCAGTGCCGTGCACAGGCCTGAAGAAAGTGGACAAGTTAACCATTTGTGGGCTGTGGCCTTCGCGCAATGCACATATTTAGCAAATCAAAGAAATAATCAATATTGTGGTTTTTGGATCTATGAACTGTGTGCTATACATTTTATGAGGATGCCCATCATTAGCCAATTTCTTCTCTTGATGCTTACCATGCTAATTTGCAGGAGCCTGTTCTTCCTGGTTGCTTTCTCAGGGCTAAAGCAATTGGTCTTATGCCCATGATTGATCAGGTATATATCTATGAGACTATAAAAAAGTAAAATTTTTGTCCCAATCTTTCCGTGTATTAACACAAGTCAAAATGCAGGGAGAAAAAGATGACAAGATAATTGCTGTATGTGCCGATGATCCTGAATATAAGGAATACACTGATATCAAGGAGCTGCCACCCCATCGCTTAGCTGAGATCCGTCGCTTCTTTGAGGATTGTATCCTTTTCCAAAATAACAATACTTAAGAGCAGCATGTATTTTCATGTCAGAAGTTTATGAATTTTTTATGATGTCTGTTCACTGTTCGTGTCTGCAACATGAATAAGAATTTTAGCATATGGTCCTTGACGAATGTATCAGATAAGAAAAATGAGAACAAGGAAGTTGCTGTCAATGACTTTCTTCCAGCCACCAAGGCGTTCGAAGCAGTCCAGCATTCCCAGTAAGTTACCTACAGCTCTTTCAAGCATTACCAGAAGTTCAATTTTTCTCCCTTCTGCAGTATGTAAAACTGAACAAACAATATGGTTGGTGATAAACATATAGCGCAGTTGCGCAAGAGCTGGAGTAGCTATACATTAGAAAATTAGATATGAAGTTATATTGCCATTTTTCTTGCTTCCACCAGCTGCTTACTTATAGTATTCTTTCTTCGCAGGGATCTGTATGCAGACTACATCGTCGAGAGCCTGAGAAGATGATAGTCTTTTCATCTTCCCAGTCATGAATGGTGGTTGATTCACATTTCTCATACTAATATACAATATAGTAGTACTGCTCTGGTATTGTCTACTTGTACTGCAAAAAGCACAGTTATACCATTGTTGCATGTGCATACAACTTACTATATACAATATGCTTGTATTATCTACTACCTGGAGAAATTAGCTCCATACAGTACCTGATGATGACGAAAAGGAAACTTCAAGTTTCCCCTGTCAAATTTTGTAAGATTTGATTATGAAATGGATTATGCGCAGTTAAGTGTGTATTCATTCTGTTCTGTTCCCTAAGCTTTAATGGCTTCAGAATTGGACCAATTGCTATCTACATGAACTGCACGTGCTTGTTACAGGGAGGTCGGTTTGTATTGTTTTACTTGATTCAATTAAAGTTTCAGATTTGATAAGTTTATTAATAGCAATTAGTGTCTGGTACCGTAAGAAAAAGAAACTCGATTTTTAGAGTTATTACTGAAAAATAATATGCAATATTTTAATCATTTATGTTACCATCACATTTTTGTTAAATCAAAAACAACTTTTATCGTCCAAAGCAAATTATCAATTCTGCGTTACTCATACAAAGGTTGTTCTAAATAAACTGAGAGAAATAGCAAGGAAGAAAGAGAATTTCCAGTGATGCGATTGTGATTTTTTACCTAAAATTGATATGGTATTGTAGGATACACTAGCTAACGACTTACTTGATGCCAATGTGCGTATATTGAAAATAAGATGTAATTCTCATAATACGCTAAGCACACTGAAGTAGGTAAAATGAGTTACGCAAATGAAGTTAGTTCTGTTAGAAATGCCAAAAACTAGCACCTATGAGAATGTAGAGCACCACCAACAACAACAACAACAACGACGACCCAGTAAAGTCCTACTCCGTGGGATCTGGGGAGGGTAGTGTGTACGCAGACCTTACCCCTACCCCGATAGGGCAGAGAGGTTGTTTCCGATGGACTCTCAGCTCAGGAAGATAAAAATAAAACAAGGAAAGAAAAGACAATTCATCAGTATTGCCAACATAACCATAGAAATAATGACAGCATCCTAAAAACCATAAATTAGATGACATGCAATAATAAAAACCCGCAACTAAGATTCAGAGCTATGGGAAACAGTAAGGTTAGTGTGAACTCTACATCAACCACAAGCCGTCTAGGACCAACCTACTCAAACTCGTTTCACCCCCGGAATGGAGAAGGAGAAGCTCGGCTACCACTCTATCCTACAACCCTAATGCTCGACCTCCAGACCTTCCTATCAAGGGCCATGTCCTCGGAAATCTGCAATCGTACCATGTCCTGCCTGATCACCTCTCCCCAATACTTCTTAGGAACCTCTACCTCTTCTCGTACCCACTAAAGCCAACAGCTCACACCTCCTCACCGGAGCATCCAGTCTTCGCCTCCGCACATGCCCGAACTATCTAAGCCTCGCTTCCCGCATCTTGTCATCCACAGAGGCCACCCCCACTTTCTCCCGAATATCTTCATTCCTAATCTTATCTATCCTAGTGTGCCCGCACATCCACCTCAACATCCTCATCTCAGCTACCTTCATCTTCTGGATATGAGAGTTCTTAACTGGCCAACACTCTGCCCCATACAACATGGCCGGTCTAACCACCGCTCTATAAAACTTACCTTTGAGTATTGGTGGCACTTTCTTGTCACATAAGACTCCAGATGCTAGCCTCCATTTTGTCCACCCCATCCAATGCGGTGAGTGACGTCCTCGTCGATCTCCCCATCCCCTTGAATAACCGACCCAAGGTACTTGAAACTACCTCTCTTGGGGATGACCTTTGATCCAAGCCTCACATCCATGCCTACTTCCCTCGACTCGGCGCTGAACTTGCACTCCAGGTACTCCGTCTTAGTCCTGCTCAATCTGAAACCATTAGACTCGAGAGCCTGTCTCCAAACCTCCAACCTCTCGTTAACACCGTCCCACGTCTCATCAATCAGGACAATGTCATCAGTGAATAACATACACCATGGCACTTCCCCTTGAATATGGTGTGTTAGTACATCCATTACTAAGGCAAATAAGAACGGGCTAAGCGCAGATCCTTGGTGTAACCCCATAACAACCGGGAAATGCTCCGAGTCGCCTCCCACAGTCCTTACCCTAGTCTTAGCTCTATCATATATGTCCTTGATCGCTCTAACATAAGCTACCGACACACCTTTTACCTCCGGACATCTCCATAGCACCTCCCTAGGGACCTTGTCATACGCTTTCTCCAAGTCAATAAACACCATGTGCAGATCTTTCTTTCGATCCCTGTACTGTTCCACCAACCTCCTAATAAGGTGGATAGCTTCCGTGGTCGAGTGACCCTGCATGAACCCGAACTGGTTGTCAGATATAGACACTATCTTCCTCACCCTCGCCTCCACCACCCTCTCCCAAACTTTCATGGTATGACTTAGTAACTTGATACCCCTATAGATGTTATAACACTGAATATCACCTTTGTTCTTGTACAACGGAACCACTGTACTCCACCTCCACTCATCCGGCATCCTCTTCGTCTTGAAAATAACATTAAACACCCAGTCAGCCATTCCAAGCCTGCTCTACCCACACACTTCCAGAAACTCAAACCCGGAAATTTCATCTGGCCCGGTCGCTCTGCCCCGCCCCGACTCGTCTTACACATAGCCCTCACGACCTCCTCCAACTTAATACGCCTACAATACCCAAAGTCTCGGAGACTCTCCGAATGTCCCAGATCCCCCAGTACTAAATCTCGATCCCCTTCCTCATTTAGAAGATCCTAAAAGTACATCTGCCATCTCTGCTTAATCTGGACTCCCCCATCAAGACTCTACCGATCAAGACTCTACCGTCCTCGTCTTTGATGCACCTCACTTGATCCAGATCCTGAGCCTTCCTCTCCCTCGCTTTAGCCAGCCGAAAGAACTTCTTATCCCCGCCTTTTTCCCCCAATTCCTCGTACAGTCGGGCAAACGCTGTATTTCTTAGCCTCCGTGACCGCCAGCTTAACCTCATTCTTTGCTACCTTGTACCTCTCTCTATTCGCTCTCATCTCCTCCTCGCATGTGCTCCCTACCAACTTCATATACGCTTCCTTTTTCGCCTCCACTTTGCCTTGGACTATGTCATTTCCATACCAGTCACCTGGTGCCTGCCAGAGTGACCCTTCGATACCCAACACTTCTCTCGCCGCCTCCCTAACACAGTTCGCCGTCGTAGCCCACATAGCGCCGGCGTCCTCGCTACTCCTCCAAGCTCCCATAGCTGATAACCTCCCCTCCAACTCCTGGGCTTTATCCTTAGTCAAGGCTCCCCGCCTAATCCTCAGTTGACCACGAGCATACTCTTCTTCCTCCTTATCGTAATACCGATGTCCATTACAAGAGCTTATGCTGGGTCGCGAGGGTTTCACCTGGATAACCTTGCAGTCCTTGCACAACCCTCTATCATACCTTCTGAGGAGGAGTAATCAATCTGAGTTTTCACCACCGAACTTCCAAAAGTTACAAGATGCCCTCCCTCTTCGGAAATGTCACGCCCCAAACCGAGGGACATGACCGGCGGCCGACCGGGTAGCCCCAGTCAAGCGACCTGGTGGCCTTTCCTATCCCACGTGTTACCCCGTACTTTCATTGCTCAAATCAAGGAATTAGCCATTTATAATTAAAACACCTTTTTACAAAACATACATAACATACATGGTTACTTAATGAGGTTTACAACTTACATCGCCCAACATACAAAATACATAATTACATAAGTTCGTAACCCACATTTACTGTCTACGGAGCCTCTAAGGATACAAAGGATAATACAATACTTGCCGGTAACAAGGCCCGGCTATACCTTACACAAATATTAAAACATGACTCCGAAATAAAAAGCGGTATGAGCCACGCAGGGCCCCGAGAGGAAGGGGCTCACCAATTCAGCTGATGGGAAGTAAAGGGGAGCTACGGTCGGTGGACTGGAGTACCTGCTACAGATCCACCTACAATCATAACACGAATGTAGCGCCCCGGCAAAAGGGACGTCAGTACATTTGAATTGTACTGGTATGTATGAACAAACTTTGCCCTAAGCAAACTCAAACCATACACGAGTAACAAGTAGCAATGGAATCAACAATTAAATACACATGAAAGGAAACAATCAAGCCAAACAAGTTTACAATCTCTCCATTTCCCCTTCAACATTTTCACGTCAATGATTTCACAACTTTCTCATATTTCATTTCAATAGTGATTTCGATCACTTTTCACCCTTATTACCTGCCCACCCTTATTACCTCGGCCACCCTTATCACCACAACCCACACCTTATTACTTCGTGTTGCGGCGCACAACCGATCCACCGAACAATCACAATTCACAAACAACACAACAACAACAACAATTCACAAAGAACAACAACAACAATTCTCAAGAACTACAACAACAAATTCTCAAGGAATTACAACAACAATTCACAAAGAATTTCCAAACCATCAATACCATTTCCATCATACTCAATAACTCATATGCATTTTATGTTCACAACGATAATTGCCCACGACAGCCATATATGTAATTACCACAGTTGTTCTAATTGCATCATTTTACGATTTCCTTCCATCTTTTGTTTCTCAGCTCTTACCACATAACACTTTCACAATCACACATTTGTTTATTTGCCAATTACTTACACCCATTATATCGGGAGACTTAACCACAAACACTCAAATCATACCAATCACAAGAATTTCACACATAATCCACGTAGATATCACATACCAAATATTCGTACACCAAACAAGGTGATTTTACAAAGGTCAAAGTTAGCCATACATACCTGGAGCCGAATTCCCTTTTTAACTCCTATTTTCAATTCACCAAGTAGTCTAGCAACGTCAATCTAGTGCACAAGTTAACACATATGACTTAGAATTGAAGTTCACAATTGCTACTCAAACTTATTTAGGTTATCAACCCCTCTTGTACACTCCTTTACTCCTACCCAATTCCTCTTACTAGATTTTAGGTTTTAAAAGGCATGCATGTATGTTTTCAATCATTATTTTCAAGAATCAATGCATGAGACTCCCCCCCTTAGTTTAAACCTAAAAATCAATGAAAAAGGGTTAGGGATTTTACCTGCAAGAATGGGGATGAAGATAATCACTTTGAAATTTCCCGGCCCGGATAGTTTTTGAAGAATCAAATTTGATGAAGATGACTTTCTCTCTCAAGAACCCTCTCTTCCTCTCTCTTATTTTGTTCAGA